TAATTTTTAGATTGTTTTTATTATTAATATTGTCAGGTAGCTTTAATTATTCCTGATTTTTAGATTGTTTTTATTATTAATATTGTCTGGTAGCTTTAATTATTCCTAATTTTTAGATTGTTTTAATTATTAATATTGTTTAATTATTCCTAATTTTTAGATTGTTTTTATTATTAATATTGTCTGGTAGCTTTAATTATTCCTAATTTTTAGATTGTTTTTATTATTAATATTGTCTGGTAGCTTTAATTATTCCTAATTTTTAGATTGTTTTTATTATTAATATTGTCTGGTAGCTTTAATTATTTATTTTTATTTTTTTTTTTTTTCCTATACATAAAATTCTTTGCAGTAGATGAAAAGTTTTTGCTTGCAATTATTCCCTAAATAACCTCTATTGATATTACGTTTCTCTTAAACAACAAACTATTAAAGACTTGTTTAAGCCTACAATTCAGTTTAGCATTTCAAAACTAATAATCGTATTAAACATTACTTTCATCTACTTATAAACGTTTCTTTTATTTTTAGAATTTCATAAAAGTATTTAATTTATGATTTTTCAAGACTAAAATCGATGAATCGCTGACAGTTTTGATATTATGTTATTAGAGATTTTTTGTTTCAAGTAAAATTTAATGTAGACTTTAGTGATACAAACATATTATAATCTACACTTGGTTAATGATAAAATCAGAACCTTTTCCTGAAATTACTTTCTTAGTTGGCAGAGAAACGTATTTTTCTTTCTAGAGCAATGAGTTTACTATATTTTCTTTTATAGGTTTCACAGTTTGTAGTTTATATAAGCAATGATAAAAGGCAAAGTTTTATTCTGTCCAGAAGACAGTGATAAATAATGTAAACAAACAAACGAATCTATACAACTGATAAACCTCACAAGTACAAATAAATGGTTAAGATCGATAGAGAAAATAGAAGGTTAAATGTTCAACGTTTCGGTCAAACCAACAATGAGGTTGTTTGAGCGTTGATCAATTAATCATTTTTCTCTCATAACAACGGTTTTAACCATTTCTTTGTATTTTCAGAAAGTAATCAGTTGTTGTTTGCTCCTTGATTTAAAATGCAAAAATATTTCTCTGTTTCAAGTTTTCTTAAATAAGAAACTATACTGTTCCTCATGTATTTGTATTGTTAGATTAGACACAACATTTGTTGTTCATAGGATTATTCTTCATATTTGAGAGGAAAATATTAACTTTCGGAAGACAGGTATTTCATCAAGAGTAAGTCGTATTTTTGTCAGTTACATTTTTCCAACAATGTAACCATCATAAACCGTTGCTGTAATATCGACCATTCTTTTAAGTTTTATCATGAACATTATTTGATATTTGTTGATATGGTTTACAAATCAAAATAACTTCACGAAATTTGAATATTTTCCATGTTTTCCGCTTGTATTGCACAAGCCTATTTAGGGTAAGCTTTTCTTAAAAAGTTACTTAAGAGTTATTATTGATAGTGTGTGCTAATATTATCAAGTAAAAGAATGCAAGAGTTTTTTGTTGCCGCCAAAACGTTTTTCCGTACTTTGGGGCTGTGAGTAACTTTCAAATTCCATTATTCCGCCAGATGAGAGTAGCTAAAGATTTGTCAGTGGTGCTGTTTACCAGCTGCTTTCTCTTTAGTCTAAAAGCTCTAAAGCTCAAAACTAAGTACATTTATGCACACATAGCTTTTTGTTTAGCTATGCGCAAAAATGTTGACACAAAACACGTTTATACAAGATATTATACTTTTTATGAAGCCTCCGTCCTGAAGATGTTATTCTAAACAACGTCAGTTAAGTTACTTTTTTCTGAACTTTAAATGGTGAGTGCATTTCGTACATGTTTAATACACAAAAACTAACAACATATACTCTAAAAATATTTAATCTTCAAATGTTTCTATAATTTAACTAAATAAAGATAAATCAAATTAAAACATTTAAACATTATTTTCACAATTAAAGGGTTGCAAACATACAAAAATATCAAATTAGGTAAAGTGGATTAAATTAAACATCACATTTTGTCGAATTCATATTTACAATTGATAGTAGTTGATGTGATATATTTATTAAAAAAAGTTATTGTTGCTATTCATTTTTATTAAAGTATCTATACAAACTTAAATTATTGGTATTAATGCATTGGTATTGGGCTAAAATACAAAAATGATCACTTTGGATCTTGTTGATGAGCTTGAATGATTTTATATTTAATTTGGAATCCTTATTTAGGAAAACATAATATAAAAAAAACACATCGAATGTTGTTTGATGGGCTTCAGTACTTTTAAACCAAAGCTAGAATTCTTACTTGAAATATAATAAATAATCACCTCTAATCTCGCTGACGAGTTTCGGTAATCAATATTTAGAAATGCAGATTCCAAATCAAGTTATTCCACATTACAAGTACTTGTATTTAGTCAAAATATTCTACAAGAATACCTTTTGCAAATTCTTATAATTTCTTTTTACATAGTTTAAATGTTGTTTTATTCTATAAATTCAGAATAAATTCTATGCATATAAAAATAATACAAAGGCTATGAAAGGATTAATTTGGACTGTACGTGCTATAAGATCGTTGATCTTTTAAATTTTGTTTGTTTATTTGTTGAATTTTGAACAAAGCTACTCAAGGGCTCTCTGCACTAGCCATCTCTAATTTTAAAGTGATACACTTAGTGAAAGGCAGCTGCAAACTCTTGGGCTACTCTTCACCAATGAATAGTGGGATTGACCGCAATTATAACGCCTTCACAGTTGATAGGGCGAGGATGTTCGACAACGGGTTTGTTCTCGCGACCTGCAGGTTACGAGTCGAGTTCCCTAACCACTATACCATACCTGGTCCAATATTGTAAAGAGGCAGTTGGATTATTAATATCTAGTTTGTTTTGGTTTCAAAAAGGATAGCTCATTTTCGACGAAACACTGTTAGCAATGGGGGTGAAGTCTGGAAAGGTGTGACACTAGTGTATAAGTAGAGTAAATATATAAAACTATAATTATTTGTCCTGAGAAATGTCATTTTAATAAAACTGATAGTTTAATGATAACGCTTGATATTAGAAGTTTGTTATCTGCACTGCTTTTGAAAGATATAATTCAGATCTTTGAATGTTTGTGTGTTCGCCTTTTTTTTCGGAAAAGGAGATAATATTTCATAATCACATTATGTTGCGAACCAAAATTATATTTAAAATGCCTACCCAATAAACAAAAATCATTGGAAACATAACAAGGCGACTTAAAATTAATTTGTAATAAATTTGTTTGTTCGTTTTGAATTTCGCGCAAATGCTACTCGAGGGCTATCTGTGCTAGACGTCCTTAATTTTGAAGTTATAGACTAAAGAGAAAGCAGCTAGTCAAGACTACCTTCTGCTAATTCGTGGGTTACTTTTTACCCACGAATAGTGAGATTGACTGTCATATTGACTGTGTGCTCCACAGCTAGAAGAGCGAGCATATTTGGGGACGAGATTCGATCTCGCGACCCTCAGACAATGAGTCGAGTGTCCAGGCCATATTTTAAATAGAAGAAAAAAGCTGAAATGAATTGAGGATTTTAAATCAATAATCACCCAAAACTTGTTGGTATCGTCAAGATATTTCAAGTGATGCATTGAAATTTGTCAGATTTAGACTTTAACATGTCCCTAAAAGAATTAATCAAGATAACGAAAGAGTGGCTGATTTTTTAATACATACTTTAATGGTAAATTAACTATACACTTACCATTTCTCCCAGTAATTATTATATTTCATTAGATTATTGTACACTTACAACAGCTTCCAATATTACATTTTTGCAGCCAATTACGCACTCATAATATTGTGCAAAATTATATTTCCTTAACCAATTACATACTCACAACATTCTCCAGGATTGTATTTCCACAGCCAATTACACACTCACAACTTTGTCCAGGATTATGTTTCCACAGACATTTACACACTTGCTACATTGTTCGGTATATGATTATGTCTTTACTATACTGAAGTACAAGTATTGATTTATGATACCCGTATGCCATGTGACCTTTACGAAGTTGATGACCTTTTGAAGAAGAGTTGTATCAGAAAACCACCGCGGTTACATAAATACCAGCGATAGTTGTTATCTATCGCAGTTGTGTATATGTTGATATGTTGAAAGACCAACAGATGTAGTGGTAAACGATTAAAATATCTATCTCTTAATATTTCTGCTAGAGTTTTAAGAGTAATCATTTAATATTTTATTATTTTTCTCAGCATTTTGAACGAAAGGGTTTTTTATTTTATTGAGCATCATGTTGGTAGTTATGTCGTTTTCTTGAAGAGAATTGACTTGTATGCATCTTGTAATGCTTAGCAAGTTACAAAACACCACAATTTGTTTTCCTGGGTAGCACTTTTTGTTATACGAATCGCCTGTAACGGTCCCTTCAAAAGATTGGTAATTTTTATGCAACATTTTCCTCACTTAAATGGAAAACAGGATTTGATATCTTATAGGTACCAGTTGTATTGGTCCCTACAACGTTATTTGTGTATAATTGTTTTTTACTTAAATGGGAAACAAGGTTATTTTTTTTCTTGTTTTCTAGGTACTAATGCTATTTGATTAGGTTCATTCAGGGAAATTACTTTTTGCGTCAATTCTGACTCAACAGGACATTTTCATGATTCATTTTAAAGTGTTTTATTCGTTTATGGATATCTTTGTTTCACTACCTCAATAATTAACTGTATTGAAAATACTTTAATGAGATCAGATTGAAACATCAAAATGGAAATAGTATGAAAGCAATCGTAAACTTAACAAGTCATGAAAATCTCTTTGATTATTGTTTGTGACTCAATTTTCCCTCTATTTATAACAGCAAGACTCCTGCATAGCGATTAACACACGAATTGTTATACTATAGGTTACATTAAAAACAAAAACATACAATCCGAGGCTTACTAGTTTCATACTGCATTCACACAGTCGTTAGTATATTGGAAATAAGGGTTAGAGTTATTCAAGAGACTTGAGGTTTGTGGGAATGATCCACATGTTTCGAACGCTTCTACTTGCAACCCCTAAATACGCACGATTATGACTGAATCGATATAAAGATATTGAATTAGTAAAACTTTAGGCTGTGAGTCTAGCTTGAAAAGGTGGCAAAGCTTTTACCACACATCTTATTCGTGCGTCACAGTATACTTGGTAAGACTGTGTTTTTAAATTGTTCATTCGTTCTGTTTACGAAAAACATTGAAATCCACATAAGACAGTTCGAATGCATTTGCTTAATCCATCTCTGTTAAGATGTAAGTGTGCAACCTTTGACATTTAAATAGAGCTTATTTCTTCAAATCTCTTTTAATACAATACTTGGGCATACAGTGAATGAAAGAGCATTTGTCGGATTTTGTTACTCGGAATATAAATCCTGTAAACGAGAGAGGAGATTATATAAGCAACTTTTATGAAGATGTGAAACTAGTGATTCAAACCACCAGGATTAAAGTTACAGTCATGTGCACTTTCTGAATACGAGCGAAATACATCCATATATATATATATTTATGGTTTTGATATTATTCAAATGACAGATCTGAAACTGCAGCTTCAGCAGTTCCATAGATTCTAAGGAAAAACCAGGTAGCGATGAACCTACCTAACTAACATAAATTGGAACTTGGTTTTTGATGTACAGCATGTACTCTGGGAACAAATGGTTATTAAATATCTATGATGTTAACATGCTACTCACATGAGTTTATTAATTGCCTTTGTTCTTCTAGAGTATTCTCGGGTAATGAAAATTCCCTTTCCACCATTACTAGTAGCAACATGTTATCAAGCCATTCACTACTGTATTCTGACTAGATGGAACACTGGCAGCCAAAATCTGTTTCTATTCCACCATTACTAATAGCAACATCGTTATCAAGCCAATCGCTACTGTATTCTGACTAGAAGGAACACTGGCAGCTCAAATTTGTTTCTATTCCACCATTACTAATAGCAACATCGTTATCAAGCCAATCACTACTGTATTCTGACTACACGAAACACTGGCAGCCCAAATCTGTTTCTATTCCACCATTACTAATAGCAACATCGTTATCAAGCCAATCACTACTGTATTCTGACTACACGGAACACTAGCAGCCCAAATCTGTTTCTATTCCACAATTACTAATAGCAACATTGTTATCAAGCCAATCGTACTATATTCTGACTACACGGAATACTAGCAGCCCAAATCTGTTCCTATTCCTCAATTACTAATAGCGACACCGTCGTCTAGCCAATCACTGCTGTATTCTGACTACAAGAAACACTTGCAACCCAAGTCTCTATAATGTTTATTATTTACCTACCTTTTAAAGTTTATATTACGTAACGAAGATCTGGAAGTCCATGAATATTTCTTGTTCTTATAATGAGGACTTTTTTTCCTCTCTTCTGTCTTCCAAAAAGAATAATTCCTACATGCAAGTCATATCTAAATCTCAATCTTAATCCAATCCACACTTTTAGTGAAGGAAATACAAACTAGCCTGGTCAGTACTTTATAGTATGACATATAAATGTGTTGATAATGATGCTACCGCAGTTCTTTCATAACTCCTTCAGTCACTAATTTTCTGTGATAACATAAAACACACAAACAAGGCTATGAAATGTTGCGTTGAAATAAATACTGCAATCCGCATATAAATCAAATCTGTGGCCACAAAATAAAACAATTTTATATTAATTTAAGAGTAAAACAAACCTTAATGGTTATTGATCCGAAATGTGTCATTATATTCACTGTGATTGACTCTCTGGAAAGGATGTTGAATTATAGTAATAGAATAATTATACATCTACACAATTGTATATGATAGCCGAGAAGAATAGATGAAATTCATTGTGTTATGTTTGGTTCTACTTTTCTGTTAGATTAACTGAGCTAGGGATAGCAGTTTGCCGCTCAGTATTTGATATTTTTATGTTTTATTCTCACTGGTTTCAATAACTTTATTATTTTGTCTAATTTTTAGATAGTATTGTTATCTTGACCGATCTTTCATGACTAAATGATATAACTGTTTACATTTAGCTGTTGTGATCATGCGAATTTACTAGTATCATACATATTTACAAGTTTATATGCGACTACTGGTATCATACAAATATTCATGTTTACATGAAACTACTGATATTGTGTAAAGTAACTATAGCAGCTGCTGTCGTACAAATGTTCATATCTCTGTTTAACTAGCAGTATCAGACAAACGTTCATGATCAGATATAACTGCAAGTTTTATAAAAAAGTTCATGTTTTCATAAAACTGCTGATATTCTACAAATGTCCGTGTTCGTATTATACAAACTTTCTTGTTCAGATATGATTCCTGGTATTGTAAAATTGTTCATTTTTGTATTTAACTTGTGGCATCGTACAAATATAGCTGCTGTTGTCGTACAGGTGTTGATTTTTATATGTACTACTGGTATTGCACCAGTGCTCATTTGCATTTTAACTGCTTGTATCTTATTTAAAAACTACCTAAGTTTCACATTCGTGGCAAAGAATCAAACATATAATTGTGAGTCTGTTGTAAATTACTGAACTGAAGATGGGGTGCGACAACAGGAAGGAAGGGGAATCCCCAAAATCGTGGCAGCAGTCTTTATCGGCCAGTCACTGAACCCACGCCTCACGCACGGGTTTTGGTTTTTACATTTTTCTTTTTTCTCTCGTCATAAACTTCTACTGTTCATCTCACAGAATGTGACGCTTGGCTCCGTAGCTTTCATTGGTCAAAAATGTGCTCGAGTTGCCATTCACCCCAGGTAGCGTACACAGACGCTCGTGTAGACCTCATACCTATAGATGTAGATGCATGGATTTATATTGTTTGGCCGTGTGTGTGTGTGTGTGTGTTTAAGGGGAATGAATTACCCCTTTGCTTCAATATATATACACGTGCGCACTATTGTCCGTCTACAACCACACAGACCACATTTGCTTGCAGTAGGATGTAGACACTGTCCAATTGATGCTCGTATCAAAATTTGGACGCAATATGTCTGCTTCAGATCAAGATGCAAATTTCTCAAAACAACTACCAAGTCGTCGGTTGATGACAGCTGTAACATCACCAATGACATCGTCAGATGCTGTTTTTGAAGCATATTACAACCGCCAGTTTTCTCCGGATTATATGATGCAGAAGGTGGGTGCAACAGTTTTATGACTGTCAGTGTATTTGACTAGTCTTAACGGGAGCCACAAGTTTGGTTGATGTTGTTTTCTTCAGTAAGCGACAGACACTATCTGCGTTTATCGTGTAAATCTCCTGCTATAAAACATGTTAGGAAAGTGTTTATGTTCCTAAATATATATATATTATTTGAACGCTTACGAATGCTTTGGCGTCATTCACCTACTTCATACATAAATCTGCTGTGGCAAAATGTTTCGTTTAGCCGCATTCAATGCTGTAGCTGAGTTTGACTTATAACAGATTCAGTACTTAAACAGCTTTCAAAGTACAGTTCTGATATTTTTCTATACTTTGTGAATCGATCCAGTCAAGAAAACTGATAGAAATTTCTGTTTGTGATGAGATACACCATCACTATTGTGAAACAGTTTAATATATTTCGTACGTGTTTCTGTAATTTTGCATAGTTATTATTTCTCGTTAATCTAATAATCTGTTGATGTACTGTTAACTGTCAATTGTCGCACAGTATGTCATCAATGTGCTTAGTTTATTTTCTGTTTTTAGAGGTATCTGTTGCTACACTGCTAATTTTAAACTGTTCTACTTGTTTGTGTTGTATCAATGTGCTTAGTGTATTTTCATTATCAGAGGTTTATGTTGCTAAACTATTAGTTTTAACCTGTCCTATATGTTTGCGCGATATTTCTTTACTCAATGAATTTTCTGAGCTACAGTTGTATTGTTAACTTTCAATATTATTGCAGTAACCCGTATATTTTATCATTCAGAAGAACTTATCTTCACCAAATAATACAAAAACTGTTCTAACATATAAAATCACAAGGGATAAGAGAATACGATTTTCGTTTGTTTTCACTTTTTCTTTCATTTTTTTCTGGGCAATTTACTAAACTAGTTGTTACTTAAATCTAAGGTCGTTAAGGATTTTTAAGGAATTATAATGTATGTGTATTATGAAACCTCAAAACATGTTAATCGACTTAGATTTATTATATAGTATTAAACACTTATATATATATATATATATATGTACACATAAATGTATTTATATGAATGTGTATATAAAAGTATAAGATTTCCAGAAGCTAGCCTAAAAGGCATACACCAGAGCAAACTGATATCTCATAACACCAGTTTGAACTAAAGTAGTAAAGGTATTAAGGTAACATTGAAAATTACAAGTTAGTGAGTAATAGAGTGATAACCAGTGTTTAGGTTAAAAATCAAATATGTCTTGGATAGGTCTTTACTTGACATGGATATTTCAAGTTATGTGTAGATTATTAAAGATAAACTCTCTAGATAACCTGTTAAATTGATGAATTATTTCCGTGATCTCTAACGTAATATATATTTCCAAGGTCATAAAAACAAGAACACCACTAAATTATTTAATTTCTGTAGTTCATACTAGTGTATATAAACCATTTTAATATATGAAATAAAAGACCTTATAACACCAAATTCTTTCGTTTTACATTTTCAAGAACGTTCCACTGAAACACAAATTCTAACTGACAGTACAAAACTTCAAATGGTTTAAGCAATTTGGTGTTATAAAATCGTTTATTTCTAATACCGCTACACTGTTTATCTAAAGCTTTAACGAGTCGCCATATATAACACTGGTAAAATACTTTAATATACTACAAACAAACTTGACCCTATTGTATAAGAAAATGTTTTGATCTACCTCTAATCTCAATGTTCATCTATTTAAATAGGCTGTGATACTAGAAACACTAAATTATGATTCGTTATTAGAACAGTAAAAGTGTTCTGTGATACTAGAAACACTAAATTATTATTCATAATTATAACAGTATAGGTAGCCTGTGACACTAGAAACACTAAATTATGATTCGTTATTAGAACAGTATAATTAGGCTATGATATTAGAAACACTAAGTTATAACTCATTATTAGAACCATGTAGTTAGCATGTGATACATGAAATATTAAGGTATCATTCATTATTAGACTCGTATATTTAGATTGTGATACTGAAAACACTAAGTTATGATTCACTATTAAAAACGTAAATATACACAATGATAATAGAAACACTGAATTGTGATTCATTATTATAACACTAAGCTACTATTCATAAAAAAACGTAATAATGCTAGAAGCACTAAATTCTGATTCATTATTAGAACCTTATAGATAGGCCGTGATGCTAGAAACAATAAATTATGAGTCATCATTAGATCCGTATAGGTAGGCTGTCATACTAGAAACAATAAATTATGAGTCATCATTAGATCCGTATAGGTAGGCTGTCATACTAGAAACAATAAATTATGAGTCATCATTAGATCCGTATAGGTAGGCCGTCATACTAGAAACAATAAGTTATGAGTCATCATTAGATCCGTATAGGTAGGCCGTCATACTAGAAACAATAAGTTATGAGTCATCATTAGATCCGTATAGGTAGACTTTCGTACTAGAAACAATAAATTATGAGTCATCATTAAATCCGTATAGGTAGGCTGTCATACTAGAAACAATAAATTATGAGTCATCATTAGATCCGTATAGGTAGGCCGTCATACTAGAAACAATAAATTATTATTCATTGTCAGAACCGTTCAGTTATGTTGTAATACTACAAACACTAAGTTACGAATCATTTTTCAAACCTTATGGATAGCTTGTGATACTAGAAACAATAAATTATGATTCATTATTAGAACCGTTTAGATAACGTGTGATACTAGAAACAATAAAAGGATAAAAATCCTATAACCCGAGCGCTTTCGAAAGGTGTACATTTCGAAAGTGCTCGGGTTACAGGATTTTTATCATTTTATATTAAGGCTTCTTGAACCTACGTGTTTTTCTGACATCATGAATGACTAGAAACAATAAGTTAACATTCTTTCCAGAACCGTATATTTAGTATGAAATACTATATAAACGCAGTGTTCTCATTCATTATTCGAGCTTTACATATATTGGCTGTGATACTAGAGGATGCCATAATTCCTTACATCACTTTTAATAACCTTATTAATTGATCAGTGCATTTATCGTCTGTTTTGATTAATTGTAAGAACTCTTTTTTTTTTTGACAGAAATTCAATGTTATAATTTCATAAAAGACTTCTCAGATTTTTTATGTAGCTCTAATAAGTTGCAATTTCTTCAGTTATTTGTGAAAGTATGATTTGTTATACAGATCCAGTACATCTTATGTTACATATTAAAAATTCAGGTTATTTCAAAGTTTCAATTCAGTTTCAATTTCTTCCTTTGACTTCATTTTCAATTTTATTTTTGGTCCAACAAATTCCAAAGTGTTGTTGATTCCCTTGTTTAACACAAATAAGTTATCCATTATGTATCTTTGTAAAGTTCATGAATTAGCATCAGTAAATTCTATTCGCAATGAACATACGATGACTGCCACCTCAGTAATTATGATACATACTCACTTTCCTCCAAATCTACTTGGTTTAAGAATTCATAGCAGTATTTAAGTATCTATTACAAGTTTCTGGAATCATCCTCACGCTTCATAGCAGTATTTAAGTATCTATTACAAGATTCTGGAATCATCTTTACGCATTTCCTAGCATTTTAATCAGTGTGACGCTTTGTTCATTTTTCTCTTTATATGGGCATTCGTTATTCTCTCTATACTTCTCCCAGTGCTCCTATCTGTCTATTTCTCTACTGTTACACTTATATATCTATAAATGTCTATTTTCTACTCTTATCCATTAAACAAATTAGTTTAGAGTCGCCTGTAAAGGCGAGCGACAGATTTATGCAAGTGAGCAAACCCAGACTTAATGACTCATGACTTTCATTAGTGAGTTGCGCGACACATAAGGGAAACTTTACAAATTTATGGTGTCCTTTCATACGTGAATTGGCTGTTTGCCTTTGAATGTATGTGGCTATGACACTATGTAATGCATGACCGTCATTATATATGCGCTTTTTTCTCTCACGTAATCCTTCGTAGAGGTTGATGTTACATAGTGTGACTTCTTCCAAGTCATCAACGTTTGTTTTGTTTGTATTTTAGTCATTTTCTAATTATTAAGTTGAATTTATCCACAGATTTATTCTGGCCATCGATCGCTTGTCGAGACAAAATATCAGTTCGGTAACATCTCCTCATAGAAATAATAGAGATCGAAATCATGCAAATTGTATTCAGACATTTCTACATTATCGAATTAACACGCGCTTCTTTTGACATGATCAGTTTGATGAAAACATCATCCCTCTGACGGTTTATGATGAAAGCTTATGGTTTGTTTGTTTTGAATTTCGCGCAAAGCTACACGAAGGCTATCTGCGCTAGCCGTCCCTAATTTAGCAGTGTAAGACTAGAGGGAA